CGGGTTCAAAGTCTATAGTCCCACTCCTCTTGTTGAGGTTCGAATCCTTGCCAAGTTCGGCACCTATATCTAACTTGTTCAGAAAGGTATTTTGCTCGAACACATTCTAAGAGGCTAGAGTTTATAGGTACGACTCAGCCGTTGTAGTTTGGGTAGGGTCGGGAGAACTGGTGGCGAAAAATGCAGAGTAGTCGTTTAGAGAGGATGACATAGTTTGTGCAAACTGGTGTATTGACATCTCAGAGCTGCAATAACGTCCAGGCGATGAAAATACTGAAAATTGTGAAAATACTCGGAGGTCGGCAATTTGAAACCAGATTCGAAGGTTATGTTTTTGTCTGCAGTCTCCGCCCCTTCCTCCCGGCACAATAGATTGTCTTCTTTCAGGACCTGCATTAAATGTATTTTTATAATGCACTTCAGCATATTGCAAGGTATGCATGTCATTCTTATTGAACCGTAATTTTCTGTGTTTATTCGTGATCCTCCCTTATAAATTGGGGAAATGATTGTACTCTTCCATTCTTCCGGGGACTCGCCTACTTCGAAAGACTGCTGACATATAATAGATAATGATTCGCAGAAGTAATTGACAAGTTCTCGAAGTACCTCTGCAGATATTCGGTTCCTAATAGACGATTTGGTGGGTTTGAGTCGGAGCACTTTCGCCTTAACTAATGCAGACGAAATGCACAATCTCTCTTTTGAGAAAAGACAGAATATAGGTGTTAGCAAAAAGAATTATTATAGTTTCCAATGAAAACAAATTTAAAGAAATTCGAAAGAATGGACGTTTCGAATTGGTCATCATTTTCCGCTACTCCGTCGGAAGACCCGGGAGCGGGAATTTGATCCTAGTTTCTTTTGGCGCTCTGCATGCAGCCATATATGACTTTAGGATATATCATCGATTTTTACAATCTGTTCAGTATGAAGTTCCTTTGAAGCCTTGCAAAATTGTTTCTGCAAATGTTTCCGTGCTTCTTATATTCCCGTCGGTGCCAGTTAGCCTATCACGTTCCCAAAACCAATTCTTTCTAAAGAAAGGTGCCTGAAAGTCCGTGTTCATCCACTTCGGACGGTTGTCTTTCTTTTGAGAGGGCAGTGGTGGTTAACACTCCTCTACAGTAACAAACTGAAAATCGTCCTATGATTACCTATTGTACCACATAATGGTTCCCATGGTAACTCCAGAACTTTTATTCTAATAATAGTATTTCCCTTTTTAGAGGTTTCTCTGTCACTTATCAGGCAGGTTTACTTTAGAAAACGTTGAGTACTCGAAATATAGCACAGTGTAGTTACTTGACCTTATTGGTGGTTAGTAAGAGAGGGTAGAGTTAACAAGAGTTTCAAGCAAACCAATCAGTAGTAACAAGGGGAAAGGGGGGGAGAGAGGTGTAAACGGATCAAAGGGAGCAGATTCTAGTCTTAATTGGGGACCAGAGAAAGGGGAGAGTGAGAAGGGAATGAGTCCGACAATTAGTTCATTTCGACACGCCCCTATAAGACACAATCCTACCTTGACTAACTAGGCAAATATGACAGCTTTCCTTAACTCTTCATTCTCGTTACCTACACAGTTTCATAAGTTTTCAAATAAAATTCTCAGCTAAGCAGTTAATTATTGTTTTGCCAGAATAGCTGGAGGTAAAACTTAGTACCGAATATCGTCTGCACAAGAAAGTCGATCCAATTTTTCTATAAGTTGGTAGTTAGACCGGTTTTCCCGCGCCTCTATAGCCCTTTAGTAGATAATTCTTACCATACATAGGGTTTTTACCATTCTTGGTGGTTGGCAATGGTAAACAAACTTAATTTAGCATAGATGATCAAGACATATATTTGCTCAGGCTAATTAGTGATCTAGACATATCAGCTTCCACGAGTCTCAGTCTTTCGGAGCATTGCGTCTTAATTGTCTCCAAAGCACGCAAAACTGCCGGGATTATCGTCCGTAATGTTATAAATAGCGATATGAAAAACCGCCTTTATCAAGGAATACTGCGGGTTTTTATGTAGCCTCCCGCGCGCTAGTGAGGGGAAAAACAGAATGCGTACAGCATTTAGTGAAGAATATTTGATAGTAATAAACATGGTCTTTAAAGACCCTCCGGCAATAGGGACTGGATTCTAACTTGTCTTCATTGCGATCGCGCATTCAACTCACGCATCGGCCTGGTCGACCACTTGCAAATCCACCGGACTGAAACTGACTAATTAGTGCCTGGAGCACCAACCCATAACAGGTACGACGACCTCCACTGCCCTCGCGCATTCACTGAACGCATGGGCCTATATGACTACGTATGCCTCCACAAAAACCCACGGGAGAACACCACTGACTATATCACATCTTTCCTCACCAAAATTAGCTTCACACATAGTCACACCCAACACCACATACCACGTGTTTGCAACCAGCACCTCACACTTCAAAGGGAAATATGATCCTCCGCTCCTTCTCCACGTGGTTCCTCTGCTGCATCTGCGACCCGAGCCTGAGAATATAAGGGTGCGCTGTGACGTGGCTCGGTGTGTTGCTAACTGAGAATTATACTCAAACCTGATGTGCGGAGGGGTTAACTGGGCGTCAGAATGCAATGACTCCTTTTTAATGTGAACTTTTAGGGCACTCCCATTCCATGGGATCCAGACCAGTTGTGGTGGCACTCCTTCTTGACTTGGTCATTACAGCGGATCCAGGTTGGGGAGGGGAGAGAGTATGGTAGACGCAGTGCAAGTCTACTCTCACTATTATACAATTCACGCACAAGGTACCGTGTTGGAATTAGCTTGCTGTGAAGTATCGCAGTGGCTTAGGTTAATAGCGAAGACCCTGGCCACTACAAACGCACACGGTGGACATAGTCAAAACCGACAGTCGAACTGTTATTGGGAATCACGGATGAAAGCATAAAAAGCCGATACGCTCTGCAAAGGTTGAAACAAAATGAACAGGTCACAGTTGAAGTGATTGCAAATAGCTATTGTATATAGAAACATTAGTAAGATATATGAGTGTCAAAAAGTAAAAATGTTAATAAGACTGTTCAAAACACGGATTCTTGATTCGTCATCACAAATTCGGTCCAGGGGAGGAGAAGAAAATCAAGGGAAGGTATGAGGGAGGGAATGTTGTAAAGGCAGACACTCTTCGTCTTTTTCGAACTAAACTTCAAATCCAGAGCGTTATCCGAAGAAAGGATAAATATCCTAAAAAGAAGCAAATAGTAATGCTTGAGGAATTCATGAGTCAATAGATTATAAAACACTTCGAAGGTTATGGCCATCGTTGTTCACGACGGAGTTCCTCAACCTCACGCAAAAGTCTTCACGATCAGGAGCCCAAAATTGATTTTATTATAGGGGGATGCTATCTTCCGTTTTGCAGTTAATTAAATGAAAGGACGAAAATCG